GGCAAGATGATAAAATAAAAAACATAAATTATTCTAAGTGTGACTTTCAACATTTTATTATATTGAGGAAACACAAAATTCTAGGTTGTAGTTTATTGGAGTCATATATCATTTTCCACTATTTCTTAGTAAAGATGATGATGCCCATGTCCAAAGGATTCCATGGAGGAATGAGACAAATTTTAGAGACTTGTTGGACCTATAATTAGTGATAAGAATTAGGTGGAGCTCAATCCAAAGGGTTGAATGTGAATTACTTTTCCCCAAGAAATCCTTGGACCTTTTGGAAGGCTATGATGGAATAAAACTGTTCCTGTTTTTGTTTGTCGTATTTAGCTTAATACTCAGGATATTACACATATAAAGCATGATAGAGTCCTCAACATTACTGGGAATACAAGGGTGCAAGGATTTCCTAATTACTATAAGTTGTTTGGCTCATCCAAATAAAGCTTTATTCAAGGTGTTAACACATCAACCATCCCTAATTCCCGCACTTAGAGGTGTTTTAGGCCCCAAATCCATGTCCATAACATACAAATTCGGATCCAACCCAGCAGTGTAATCATTCAGTAAGAATTACTAGTTTTGATGATTAGGTTGGTTGTTGATAATTATTTTAGATAGTATCTTGTTTAAGTTAATGAAAGATTTTTGTTAATTACGGTGATGATGACGACAAGAAATTTTTTTTTTTTTTATCTTTTTTAAATTTACAATTTTGATGATACGAGATTGAGGGGAATAAACGAATCCTCATCTCTATTAAAACTAGTGATGTCTGGTCGCTCAATGCGCGACCCTGACCCAATATATCTGTAGATCTTAGAAATGTTTGTATCTAGAAAAAAGAATATTTTGTATTTAGCCCGATATATTTTAGAAATATTTGAACAATTTTAGAAATGTTTTATAAGTGTGATGTTTGTATTTGGCAAAAAAATAAATTGTATTTGGCCAGGTACGTTTTACAAATGTTTGAAGATTTTAAAAATATTTTATAAGTGTTACTTCTTAAATATAAATAAACTTGATCAAATATATGTCTTGAAGTAAATGCTAGACAAAATATAAAAGTATCTTAATAAGTTTAAATATTAGTAAGATAATTAATTGATTTTCTCCATTGGTTGTGCCAAATCAGTACTTAGTTTTGGAGATTTATAATAGTTTTGTAGTTAGTTTCTTCCAAAGGGTATACGCTTAATTGTTGGAACTATTTCTTCCAAAAGTTTATAGGTAGTAAAATATAAAAAATATAATTTTGAAACTGGTTAATTTTTGAAATTGGTTGATCACAAATATGAGAATGAAAATAATATAAATTTGCATAGGTTTTAAGATATAGCAAAAAAGAATTCACCTCACGATGACAAATAAAAAAAAAAGTAAAAAATAGCCCATTAAAATTTGAGAACTTTTATTTTTTTTTTCTGTAGGTAAAAATGATTCATAAAAACACAAATAAACGTAGAAACATCATTCCTTCCCTCTCCACCTCAAATTAATAAAAGGATTCCTCATAAATTAGTTAAAAGAAGCGACCTGAACTATTTATATGATGAGGAACTAAAAAAAAATCTAAAAACCAAATCCAAAAAAGTATATTCTTGAAACCCCTAACACAAAAAAAAACGTGCTTCATTTGTAAATAAAATAATAATAATAATAATAATAATAATAATAATAATAATAATAATAATAATAATAATAATTGGTCAACTTGGAGTATGAAACAAAATCAAAAGCAATTAAACAAAGAAAAAACACACTTCATAATTGACCATATACGAAAAAAAACCTGAGACTCCATAATTAAAAAAACAAAACCACTCTAATTGAATGAAACATAAAAAAAAAATTTAAAAAACCACACTTTGTAACAAAAACACAATCAATCAATTCAATCCAAACATAACTAAAATCATACAAAAATTCTAGGCTAACTAACCAAATAAGAAATCACATCATACTACCTGACAACGGTTACGGTAGCTGTAACGGATGGACGCATAAAAATAATAATAATAATACTATTCTTGAAAGGGAAAAATAAAAAATAATAAAAGCCAAACCAATGATCTGTGGAAATAAAATCAATTAAATTTTAATACCTGCAATGGCACCACCACAACAGCCGAAGCAAGATCAATGAGAATTTTTTTTTTCTTTGTGTTTATATAGAGAGGTAAAGAGAATATTTTTTGAAGTTGAAATTTTACGCGATTAAGATATAGTTGATCATCACTAATGAAAAGATTGAATATGCTAATAGTAAAGGAGTATATTTCACCGCATATTCTCAATTGATGATTGATGAGGAATTTATTATTATTTTTAATTGTAGAGAAGGGATTGATTAAGGAGTTAATTTTCGTGGAAATGGCGATGAGGATTTGGGATTTTTTATGAACCCGTGGTTTTTTTTTTTTTGTTTGTTTTGACGAAAATAAGAAATGGAAGTGAATTTAGACTGCATTTGCCTTTTAAATTTAGGAGATGTGGTAGTAAAAATTTATTTTTAAAATATGATGTAGAAATACCACATAGTAAATGATGGTGCTTTCTCTTAAGTGTGGTTTTTGTTTCTAATATAGTAAGATATGTCCTACTAATTACATAAGGATTAAGGAAATTATAGGATTTTCAATTTTAAAGGTGGTAATATATGCTAACCATAGTTTAAACAATAAATGTAATTAAGTAAAATTAAATATTTGCATTAAAATATTAACTGCATGACATGTATTTGATTTTTTATTCCAATTCACCCTTAATCTTGTGTCTTTTGTCCCAAATCCTTTCTCTTTCAAAATATAAGATTTTTGGTTAAAAGTTATAATATTCAAATGTGGCAGGTAATCCCTAATTTGGCATATTAGGTTTGACAAATTCATTTAAAAAAGTGTATTTTAAATCATATAAACAAATTCATTTGAAACAAACAGCTAGCCTCCTAGTCAACATCTAGTTAGCTAATATTCATTTATTCCTTAAAAATACTAGTGGAGTTTTGCAGCACAAAATAGTTTGATAAACAAGACTATTATAACGAGAGGCTAAGTAATACTTATGACTTGTGAATCACGACGGTACCAATCAAAAAAGTATGATATAATAATAAAAAATACAATTTTAGTGATCCTTTTGATAAAAATATTCTCCACATAGAATGAAACTTATGGTGATCGACTACATACCTCTACGCAGCGGCTATCCAAGTGAGCATCCGCAAGCATCATCTCTAGCAGTATAACCACAGTTCACCGCCGGCTTTAGGTCAAGTAATAAGAAGTTCCATGGTGATTCTTTCCGTCAACTATATAATACATACTAGATTTTCTCTCCGCAACAACGATTGATTCAGACAATAGCCGACGCGAAAGTATAAAACGGAGAAATTACAGTGGCAAATTACACTTCAAAAATTAAAAAAAAAAAGAAAAAAAGTACATATAAAAAGGAAACGGATTTGCGGCATTTGCCGTACTTTTTCGTTCATGTTTCACTTTCGATTCTGAAAGAAGATTACGAGCCTAGTGGCGTCGGAGCAAATTATCTGGTACACCTGGGGGCATCGTGTACCCCCTGCACGTGTACTTTACTCTCTTAGAATAGCGTGAGTTCGCTAAATAATTCATCCTTCTTTTTCTTTTTTTTTTTAAACGCGGCATATATAAATTAACGAATTCATTCAAATTGGATATTGGATAACCAATTTGCACACTATGGATAACCAGCTACATACTATGGACAACCAATGTTCACCATGTGGATAACCAGTGTTGGCACTATGGATAACCAGTTACACACAGCTGGATATCCATTATTAACCTGTTGGATAACCAGTATGGATGTAGTGGATAACCATTGTGCACATTATGGATAACTAGTTACACACAATTGGATAACCAGTTTCCAAATTTCATTTTTTTCTTTTTATATTTTTCTTGGATATCTTTGTCCGTATTTTTTACACTGGTTATCCAACTGCCCCTCATTCATTTTTTGTTTTCCATCATTTGGTAAACTTCCCCTCATTCAATTAAATATTATTTATGAAATGTGCCATGTTCGGCATGGGGGCGGCACAGCCGCGGGCACCGGCGCAGCCGGGTTGTTTAGTTTATCACGGGGGGATTTATACAAGTAATTTGTATCTCCCTTAACGCAATAACACATTCTCCTTACACACACACACACTCTCCTTACACACACAAAAAAAAAGGATTACCTTAATTACATTGGCATGTTCGGGAGGCGGCACAGCCAGGGCAGGTTGGTGACCTGCGATTCCGGTAGCCGCAGGAGTCGTTTAGTTTATCATGGGGGGCGAAACCCCCCAATGAACATGCCGTTTGGATAACCATTTTCTTATGAATATTTTCTTTTGTTATGTCTTTTTGGAAGCCCTCTCTGAATCCTTGTTTTGTTGTTTGGCAATTGTGGATAACCAGTTTACAACTTGTGGATAACCAGTTTACACCTTGTGGATAACCAGTTTACAAATTGTGGATAATCAGTTTACACACCGTCTGGATAACCAGTTTACAACTTGTGGATAACCAATATGAAATGGGTGTATAACCAGCATTTAATGTAAAGGTGAAAAATGTTGAGCGCGTGTAACATGTGTGTTTGGTGGGGGTATACGGTATACCCGGGTGCACTGGATACGGACTCGGCGTCGGGATTTTGAAGACTTTGAGAGGTTTTTGATTTGGGGTGAGTTTTCCAAAATTTTTACAATAAGTCCTCAAAAATTTCAAGTGTGTCAAAATGATGATTGGGTTTATTCCAAACCACGAAGGAAGAGATTGACTAAACATTGTTGCAATTAGGAATTCCATTAAAAAAAAAGTTTGCTACTAAGTGTATGCTGCGGAAAACTACACTTCAATTGACGATGGATCAGTAGATAACTAAACGATTGATGAGCCATAAAATACAGAAAGTGTTTGATTTATTTCTCTCACAAAAAACTTTCATCTAGAAGTAGTCTAACAATAGCTGTTTGATCTAGAAAAAGAAGGCATGTTTCTAGATTGCAGCATTGATATCTCCAGATTCACCTCTCCAGCTCTTGAAGAAGAAGATAACAATGGTTTAGGTGGAACTTCCAAGGACTTTGAGTCACCTTCAAGCATATCTATGACCTTGTTCATAGTTGGCCTTTGTAATGGACTAGTTTGTATGCACCAGAGTCCTACTATTATCATCCTCCTCGCAATTCCTTTCTCTTTTTCTGTCATTCCAATCTGATCTTGCAGATTGAGTTCCTCGTTGTTCTTGATGTGATCGTAAATCCAGTCCGGAAAATAGGTCTCGCTAGCGCTGTTCAAATGAGCGTTTGTCGCATTTCTCCCAACGATCATTTCTAGTACCATCATACCGTAGCTGTAGACATCAGATTTGTATGAGACCTTACCAAAGTTTCTACTGAATACTTCAGGAGCAATGTAACCAATGGTTCCCCTGGTTCCTAACATTGACACAATACTCTCTTTTGGAGCACATAGTTTGGCCAACCCAAAGTCGGAGATCTTCGGAAAAAAATCCTCATCAAGAAGAATGTTGTGAGGTTTTATGTCAAAATGGAGAATGCGGGTGTTGCATCCTCCGTGCAAGTACTCCAGCCCTTTAGCTATCCCGACGGCGATTTCATACAACCTCTCCAATCCCAAATATGAATCTGATCCAGGGTTGATGTGCTTTTCAAGTGATCCATTCGGCATAAATTCGTACACGAGAGCTCTTTTGGAACCATCAAGGCAGTATCCTAGAAGAGTGACAACATTAACATGAGAAGTTTTGCTAATACTCGAAATCTCATTAATGAATTCTTCCCCGTTTTCTTTGGCGGAATTAAGAATCTTTACTGCGACTAAGCACCCACTTGGAAGATTTCCTCTGTAGACCTCACCATATCCTCCCTGACCAATCTTCTCTTTGAACTGATTAGTCATTCTCTTAATTTCGTGGTAGCTGTATCTTCTCGGTTTGAGGGAGTCATTCTGTTTGATGAAGGCCTCAAGTTCCTTATCATTTTCTGATTTCCTTGTAGACAAGAACAAGTTTAAACAACTTTTTCCACAGAAGTAAGAGATGATAATTAAAATTCCTACTGCAGTAGCTGCGGCTCCTGCAACCAGAGAAATGGAAACTTCAAATCATTATTTTGGGACGGAGGAAATAATGACTTTTACTTTGGGACGGAGGAATAACTAACATTTCCATACCAGTTACGAGCTTCACCAAACGTCTCTTCCCTGCAGGTATGGAGAAAGGGCACATGAACATGAGGAATTCTAATTGCAAATGAGCACATAGACATATAGAAGAGAAGGTAAGAATTTCAAACCATGATTTGAACAATCCATTCCATGGGAATTATCTTGGCAAATGCAGATAAATTGATACCGGGAATCAGACCCACATTTCCCTCCGGAAGCCTGACATGATGAACAGGCAGCCAGATCAGCGGCATACTGAACATCAAACCCCTGATTCACGGCTTCTTCCAATGTTATCTTTCTAGCCCAGAGATCATCATATGCTTCCAACTGAAGCGGAACAACAAAATTCTTCTTGCATCCCCCAGCAACAGGTACAACCTCGGGTGTGAAAAACACGCCGCCTGGCTCATTTTCAATAGAACAGCTAACATTACTCTGAGTCTGCACCCTGGAAATGACCTCAGGGGAACAACCATAGTATATCCGAAGATTCCTTGTATTATCCGAAGGGTCATTGAATTTAAAGTCAAAAGACTTATAATGATCAAAGAAAACCCAAGATTCTGGACAAATATCGTTCAAGAGATCCTGGCGCGCGATCCTCATTTTAGGAATCGACGCATCAATTTCGAGTAAGCGGTAAGACACTTGACCAATCAAGATCACTGAATACTGATCTTTCACACAAATGAGGCCATAACCTCGGCGGCCACAATAACCGGGGCGATCACCACCAAAGAAAGGGTAGCCAATGCCCCTCAAGCTTCCACAGTTGTAAGGACGACTACAATCTCCAAACTCATCAGCATTGACATTGCAACAGATGATGTATGCTACAATTACATAGATGATTGTTAACATCATCAACTGGAGATTAGTCATGGAAACTTGATACAAAGAAAAAAATTAATTGATCAGAACGAAAATAGCAAGAAACTGCCATGAGTCCTTGTCCTGATCTGCTTCAGTGCTTCAGTCTCACGCGGTGTTGACTTGACTTGCATTTACGTTAAGATGTTTAAAGTCAAGCAATTGGCTTGACTTGAAACCATTTCACCCCCCCCCCCCCCCCAATAATGTACATTTGAGTTTTAAGATTTATATCTTTCTTTTTCTTTTCTTTGCTCTTTTGTGTATTGTAATCATATTTACGGCAATGGCTTTAGATTCTTACGGTGCTAAATGGTGAAAAAGATTGAACTTCGTCCGATCCGTCCCAGAAAGATACTTCAAATTTAAACTCACATGTAGTTTCACATCCAAATTAATTGGCAATGAGGGCAGTAGCATATAAGGTATATATGTTGATCAAGTTGGATTCCGACCTCCAATGTGTAACAAGTATCTTTCACTTGCTTTCAAAGTTCAAACGGAATTTTAACACCCCTCTCAATCCCAAAGGGGTTGGACAAGGTCCCTTTGAACGATTAAAGCCCAATACAGATAATATATCAAAGCTTAATAAAGATAAATCAAAGTTTTAAGATATACTATTGGGTCAGTAAAAGTCCAATATGGGTAAATTAAAATTCTCAGATATATTGCTAGGTCAGTCAAAATCCAAAACAGGTATAAACCAAAGGCCCAATACGGGTCAGTCAAAGCGAAAAAACTGCCAGATCGGTTAAAGTCCACCCACAAAGTCCACGGATAAAATTCGTTCTGATACCATCTTGAAGGTCTATATAGGCCTACATGTGATTCTATCTCAAAACCAATTGGCAATGGAGAGAGTAGTAAATAAGATATATATGCTGATCAAGTTGGGTTCCCATTTCCCAACTCCAATGTGGAACAAGTGTCTTTCACTTGGTTTCAAAAGGCGATTTTAACTTCATATGATGTCTATTGACGCAACTTGGTCAAATGGCTTTATAGTTTATGGCTATGATATCTTTTTAACAATCGTACTCACTCTGGCTTTATAGGCCATAACCATATGATATCCTAGCAACCCGGTGGGTTCAATGGGGGTGTTAAAAGATAGTTGCAGTTGATGTCCACTCGTCATCAGTACTCCACTTGTTGATCATACTATTAGTACTATTTGGGTTTGTATAAATGCCCTTGTTGAATTGTGTTTTGACCCACAAATTGATCACCTATTCGTAAAACCAAACTATTGAATGTATTCTCATAATTATGAAGCAAAAGGTTTATAAACTAGCCAGTACCACCAATATTATGAATGACATGAAATTAAGTTGGAGAAATCTTTATGGTCAAAATAAACTACAAGAGCAATTGTCTATCAGACACTTCCTCCAATACTGTTTCTAAAAGCTCTTGATTTTAAACAATTTTTTTCATGATATCTTAAATTAAATTTAGTTTTGATTTGTGTATGATAAGTACACTCGGAGAGGGTATAGTAGATAACGAATGATTAATATCGGGGTTCTCCCGCCAAGTATTGTCTTGGATTCTCCTAAAAAAAAGGGTAATGCATGATTAATAAAAATATGTATGTTGTAAAAAACAAACAGATTTTCCACTTAAAATAGACCCATATTTAATGGTTGACTTGGGTTTCTAAGTTAAAGTAACATAGAAATTAATTAAAGGATCGCCTAATAGCAATCGGGTCGTATATTATTACTTTTATAAGTAGATGAAGAATCCATGAGCAGCAATTCAGTGTTATTCACTTGGTCATCATCCACTTCAACAAAAGTTGACCATTTTGCATAGGCTTCCTTAACCAACTTCTGAATGTAAGCCTGAAAAACATTCCAATAAAATTATAACTTCAGCTCAATTCCATCATAAGGACAAAAACCCTCCTAAACCATTATAAGTTAGAAATCAATGGTCCATCGGCATTAAATTGACTAAAAACCCCAAGATAATTATGACTATCTTTTAAATAAAAAATTTATGAGTTGAATTTAAAATTATATTCCAGACTTGCTTATAACTTTTAAACCATAAAAACGAAAAACACTCAAAACTGTATTTAAATCCCCTAATACTAAGTAATTACATTATTGTTTTCCCTATTTGTAACTAAAATAATAGCTCATGTATTCGTAAAATAGATCTTACAACAATTCATAAATTTAAATAGGCAATTTATAATGCTCCTAGTTTTCACCATCAGTTGCATATATTATTGAGATTTGTTGAATAAAAGAGAATTAGCGAAAGTTGTAGGGATTTTCGGATTTGTGGGTTAAAACAAAGTTGAGTAATAACATGATTCTTATTAAAAATGTAAGGAGTGTTATGATTTTTTATTAAAAAAAATTTATTAGGGGGGCATGGGGGATTCGAGCATAGCGTGGGAGTCTTTGTCATTTTTCATAATAATAATAATAATAATAATAATAATCTTAAAAGGACATTGTTGTCATTTTACTTTATTAACAGCCACTATTCTATCGATGGAGGGTTACATTATTCATTTGGACATAATTTGGGGGCTATTTATCCTTTTGAGAAATGTCGAAAGGATATTAATCTTTAGGACATAACTCGGGGGCAATTTATCTTTATTCCTTACTTTTTATCTATAAGTAATTAGAAAGTTTGTCTTGTATCAAACGTGCATAGTGTTTCTATCAAAGAAAACGTTGACCGAAATAGACTTATACCCAGGATAATAATTGAATAAAATTGGTAAGTAAATTTTTAGTTTAGTAGTATAATTTAAGTATTTTGATTAGATTATAGTCTAATAAACGTGCATTGATGAGAGGTAGGAAAATATATACCTTGAAAATGTTATTAGCTTTTGTATGCAAAAATATGGGTAAAAACTCCTTTGGACCCCTCATTAGGTAGGTAGGTCTACGCTGACATTAGTGATTTACTGCTCAAAACTCTTAGAGCTTGTTTAGCCAACATTTTGTTTTAGTTTTTTATTTCGGTTTGAGATATGATTTAAAATGTGGTTTGAGATAAAATTTAAAAAGTTATTTGGACGATATTTTAAATAAACTAATAATATTTTTAGACCACCACCGAACCACCTCCATCGCCGTCGTCGCCAGACCGCCCACAGCCACCGGCCGGCCGGATTCTGGCCAAATTCCTGTGGGCCGATCGCCGGCTGATGGTGATCCAGCGGCAACGGGTGGTTTGGTGGCGGCGTGTGGTTGTGGAGGTGGTCCGATAAGGGTGGATGAAAATTGTGTAAAAATAATTTTTGGAAGATTTTTTAAAAGGTAAATTAAAAAATTGTTTGGATAGTATTGGGATTTATGTTGGAGAGGTGTTTTAAGAGGTAAAATGAGACAAAAACGCAAAATGAGTGGTGAACAAACAATACCTTATTTTTGTTATTAAATTTTCTTTTGTATGATTCCAGAAAGATTTTCTTTTGATATTTTGGCCCCTGATGCATTAATTTTATGTTTGCCTCAGGGGACATTCCTCTACTATTTTATCAATTCCTAATGGCTCATTCCCAAAAAAAAGAAAAAAAAAACTTGAGTTAGGGGTGCTTCGGCCAAAAAAATTTAAAAGAATTGATGTGGGCAAAAAATTTTTTACTTTTTTTTTATATGTGGACAAAACTAGTTGTTTCGGATTTTGCAAATTCGAGAACCTAATTAAACGGACTCTCGGATTTCCCAAATCCAAAGTAATAAAATATAATAAAAATTATATGTTTTTGGTATTTTTGAAAATAAGGAAAATAGGGTTAACAGGTGAATAGTGACCTCGGATTTGAGAAATCCGAAAGGTTTTAAAATTTAATATTCCAAAAATGCTTAAAAAATGGCGGGCAAATTCAAAATTTAGAACAGTAGTTTCGGATTTGCCAAATCCGACTTCTAGGGTTTAGGGGAGAAAATTGGCGGATCTACCCAAAACTTTACATGCATCGTCAATTCATAAACATATGGCTAGACAATAATGTAAAGCTTGTAAAGCTTTGGTTAGATCCGCCAATTTTTCCGGGTTTAGGGTTAGGATTCGGATTAGCCAAATCCAAGAGCTGCCTTTCAATTGAAGGGTAATCTGTCCTTGTGGATAAGGTTGTTGGATGTATTAAATCGGATCGGATAAGGTGACGGACATTCGGATTTGCCAAATCCGAGAGCCTCACATGAATAGTGACTCTCGGATTTGTCAAATCCGAAACAACGTGATATAAAAAGGAAAATTTGTAACTTTCCTTCAGATTGGATTTTTCAATTTTTGAGGGCTAGGGAGGGTTGTGGCCGGAGTTCTTCAGAATTTTGGACGCACATTACCGCTAAATGTAACAATAATCGTTATTCTAACGAGGTTAGTCATTAAATCAATATTTTTTAGTTGTTCCGCTGTGTATTTATATTGTTTTGAAGATAGAAGATTGATATGACTTAGGATTGATGATTGTGAGTGTAATATGGTAATGTATGGATAATTGATTGGAGTTGAGTTTATGAGTTAGGATTGTTGTTGTTTTAAGAATTGATAGAGGTTAATTTAATTAATTTGAATGGATTTTGTTTGTATGGATAATTGATAGGATTTAGGGATAATTTGTATGAATAGTTTAATGAGAAAGGAGTTGTTGTTTTTTTTTTTTAGGTCAGAATTGTTGTTGTTGTGTTTTTTTTAGGTGAGAATTGTTTTTTTTTTAGGTGAGAATTGTTATTTGTTTTCTTTATGTGAGAATTGTTTTTTTTTTAAGTGAGAATTGGTGTTGTTGTTTTTTCTTTTTTAGGTGAGAATTGTTTTTTTTTTTTCAGGTGAGAATTTTTTTTTTTTTTAGGTGAAATTAAGATTAATATAGTTAACGATTTTTTTGTCCCTTAATAAATAATTAAAATGTCCACGCACGGGCTATACATACTTAATTTGTTTCATAGAAGCAAGTATGTGATAGAGAATGGCGTATTGAACATATTTGAGAACAAGCCGGACGACACTCTTATTATTGATAGTAG